GGGGGGGGCTATGAAGAAAAATAAAGGGAGCTTTATTCTGTTTCCATTTAGTAAAGTATAAATAACTGTTCTCTTATTTTTCAACACTTAGTGTGGAGAAGAAGTCAAACCGGAAAGGGAAGAAGGCTTATTGGTGGGAAAGGAAACATACGTAAGACTACAAGATGTATATCATGGAGAGGAAGATGGTTGCAGGAGATGGAAAAAGTAACCGAGAGGGTCTAGCATGCTCGTGACCAGTTGAGACAACGCTGAGATTTATTGCAGTTCCCACATCAAGAAACGTTGGAATTTCCCAAACTGAGCATTAGAATTTTCTCTTCTAATAAATCACTTCTGGCAAATAAATTGAAAGAATCTTCTTCTTTGCTTGCATAATTTTCAAGTTTCATTAAGCGCATTTGGAAGAAAGGGAAAGTTATGGTATTAGTAGTTAGATCTTGGGAGGGGGTAGGGGTGGGGTGGAGGGGAGGGGGCCGAATATTTTGGCTAGACCCCAGCATTTGCTCCTTTATCGCTACCGTTAAATCTCTTATATTTTAAGCCAGGCAGACAAGACTTTAGCTCAGTGGTCTTTGTGTACCTTAAGCTTACTTCACTTTGACTAGGTTGAAATTAAGGAATCAAGAATAATTATAAAGTCAGCCAACAGCATGATATCTCAAATAACATTAATTGAGGACATATAAATTTACATTCTATTGTTTACTTAAAATGTCTGTTTACTTGCTTTTTAAACATTCCGTTTGAATTAGTATCGTACTTGTTCCATTTTTCCTCTGAAATTCAGACAAAGACAGACTCTGTAAATGTGTATCATTAAACAGCGATATAAAGAATTCTTAGAAGATGGATTCAAAATTGTGTCAATGCGTGCTTTTGAATGCATATTTAAGACCAAGGTAAGAGAAAGAGAAACAAAAAGAACGAGAGAGAGAGGAAGAAGAAATGAAAGAAAGAAAGACAGAAAGACAGAAAGAAAGAAAGAAAGAAAGAAAGAAAGAAAGAAAGAAAGAAAGAAAGAAAGAAAGGGAAAAATGAAAGAGTGAGCAAGGGATAATTTACTAGATTCGATTATTCCTTTCCTTGGCTGCATATCTCCAACATACATCAACGCAAGATGTCAAATATGCACACTCGTATAAAGTAAACGAAAGAGATGAACGGGAGCATTAGGCCACATAACGAATAACATATCAGAAAAGGGAACCTTGCAGGTCAAAAACACATTTTTTCTAACGATCTCCAGTAAGAGATCGCGTGGTTTGGCGGTTTTGTCTCAATTATTTAATCCGAGAAAGACGAAATGTGAAAAGCAAAATCTAACTCAAACGCAAACGAGCGAACTGAGTCGGATCGTAAAAAATGAGGAATAGAAAGAGAGGAAATGATGCATAAAAATGAATGGCGGGGGAGGAAAGGAGGAGGGAGGGAGGGAGGGATGGGCGGAAGATTCGATGCGCCGGGGAAAGGGGTGGGGCTAGGGGCGGTGGAAGGGGGAATTATTTCTTCTGGTCCGGTGGGTCCGCGGCCAGAGTTCTGTAGAGAGGGTTATGACTCATGGCCTCTTTCACGGACCTAATCACAAAATTATAACCCAATTATTGACACCTTGTCCGAGATTGTGGAGCTGGGTGAGAGAGACTTCGGGAGGAGGCGTGGGTAACTTGTTAGAGCAGTACCAGACTACTATATTGTGCGTGTGAGTTAAGGGAATATCATGTAAACTACTGTGAGGATGGAAGGAAAAGGAGGGAATCTTTGAGAGAAGGAAGGAGGAGGGAAGCGGTGGGTGGG